TTAACCGCACATACTGCAACATAGAAACAATCATTAATAAAAGTAAAGTTTTCAGTGGCGCACTGCAAGTGAGAATGACCACTCTATACATGCTTGACCTTATATAGCCCCTTATAAGCGCCCTCTACTATTACACAACACCATGTTGTATTTTCCTACGATAGGAGAAAGTAATTTCTTCCTAATTCGTACCTCAAACGAAAGAAATAATATTTCTCCTATATATCACCTTCCAATACAACAAACAACACAACACTTTCTGGATTGCTATGCAGTGCAACACAACTCGAGATTCAAAGAACGGGCTGATAATATAAAATACTATAGTCCTAACGACATTGATACTGACAAACGATGTTCTACTGAATCCTTTACATATCCATCTTTAGCATTCTCACTTTTCCATCTGCCATGCCTCTTAAACATCCTGTCCGGGACACCATTGTTAGCTGCAGCTGTTGCACCGCCTGCACGCCAACTATGCAAACCATACTTTGATATATCTCTGACAAAGGGGGCAAAAGCTTCAATAAACTCTTCCCTCAAACAAGTATATGACATACTTGAATTTTGTTTTCTTAAGACGTAAGATGTCTTACACTTTGATAAGTTTTCTGAAAAGATACTCTTGTGACTCATTATCAATACAAGCCGCTTCAACATATTTTTCTAACCAAGAAACCGGGCATAGCTTCCCTCTTGTTCTGCTTATTAATAACCAGGCACCATCTCGATACATATCAGTTTTCGATTTCTCAATAAACACTGTCATATAAGATTCGTAAAAAAATAATATCACATCTCTTCAAATTGAGAAGCTCAGCAGATCTGAAAAAGCCGGCATAAGCAACTAAACTCATAGCAACAATCCGAATATCCTTCAAGCAATCGCTGTTTTGCTTCACATCAATCAATTTCTCTAAAATATCTACAGTAATTGGCCCCTCTTTTACATTTGGGTTTCGAAAGCTTTCTCTTAGCAGCCTCAAGAACATTTCGAACAAGAAAATTATCTGTCGGACTTGGCAGTCCCAACAAATTATGCACATGGTGTATGCTATAAAACGCAGTCTGAACTGATGAAAACGAATCATTACGCTGCATTACAGCAACAAGATAAATAGCACAATGCAAAGGCTGAACAGGAACGTCTACACATATGCTGTTTGAATTAGCCCACCTTTGCCACGCTTTAAATCCGTAATGGTACTTCCTGCCAGTGGAATCAGCACGACCTCAATTCAATCTGGTCAGCTAAATCCCTGGCAGTTCCAGGCAACATCTCCAACACAGAAACATAAGCACGAGTAAACACATGTGTAAACATAGACATCAAAATTGCATTTTCAACGCCAACATGTTAAAATGCAAATGCTCAATACCAAATATTACCCCTTGACATCTACCTGGCACGTAAGCCTCTCTTTCTCTAGGTAGATAACAGAAATCCAACACTTGTGGTATGAAGATATCGTTAGGACACAATAATGGCCAGTAATTTGCAGAATACCATGCCGGAACTATCAAAGTACCTTTCGCTTTTGACCATTTCATATGTTTCAACACTAATCAATCTCAAATCTCAGCGTGACCCTGCTCGTTCTCATAATAATCGGTTGTAATTCTAAATGTATCATTATGAGTGAAGAAGATTCAAAACTACACTTAACTTTTGTCACGGCTTCTTTGTGATGACCTTCACCTCGTTGATTGTTTGTCTGAGTTGAGCTTTGAACTGGGTCTGGCCATTGGCGAGTGGACAATGTCGTCTCCAATGCGAGAAGTCACCGCAGTGAAAGCAGGCCCCTGTTGACCTCTGACCTCTGACCTCCACGGGCACGAAAAAGCTGAGAACCAGCAGCAGCAGACTGACCGTGCGTGCTGTCGCTGACCGCTGTTGACGCTGTTGATGCTGGACTGGGTCGTGGTCCATAACTATATGGGTGCGCACGTGCATTACATGCGTTCTTGGCCTTGATTTTCTTGATGGCTTTGTTCTCGGCCCTCGTGATGCGACGGTCATCATCGGAGTCATCAGCCAATTCACGGGACACGTAGTTCCTCACGGTCTCCCAGCCTCCCTCGGACGAATCTGCAATCTTTATGTGTTTGTTTCTGTTCTCGATCCTGGCTATCTCGCTCTTGACTAACTCAGATACGTAATCGCTCTTACCGTACTGAATTCCAAATTCAGTTTGTTTAAATGTCTCTAAAGTCTCTTCATTAAAAGAATATTGAATGCGATTACCCTCGCGTGACCGTACGTAATCTTTCTCTGCTTTCAGTTTCTGTAACTCCTTGTTTGTCTTTGAGAATTCATCTCTTAAACCAGCAACTCTAAGATCTAAACGTTCATCTATACTTTTAGCTATCTATTCTTTAGAAAATGACGTCTAATAGGTGCTTGGGCTTCCATAACAAAAGTAAAGTTTTCAGTGGCGCACTGCAAGCGAGAATGACCACTCTACTTACTTACTTACTTACTTTGGAGATTTAACGTGCGCTTTCCGACTGATGCGTATTTCGCACACGGTGCGTGTTCACTCTATACATGCTTGACCTTATATAGCCCCTTATAAGCGCCCTCTACTATTACACAACACCATGTTGTATTTTCCTACGATAGGAGAAAGTAATTTCTTCCTTATTCGTACCTCAAACGAAAGAAATAATATTTCTTGTGAAATGGTATCATCCCTTCAAGGTTAGAAAGAAGAGGAAATATTCGTGAGAAGGAAGTGAATTATTGAAATATTTTGACAGATTGAAAGAAAAAACCCCGTCTTAGGTAATATCAGAAAATTATTGCTTTAGAATTGTTGCTTGGTAGTGGAAGCTTCCTTGTAAACATTTTAGTGAAACAATATAACTGTTAAAAACGATTGTAACATCCACCTGCTATAAAACTAAGCTTGTTGGCTCTTTCTATAGGACATAATATTATTTCTTTTTAAATAATATATTTAAAAAAAAGATAGTGTTGAAAGTGAATACCAGTATCATATTCATGATATTTATTTCAAGATACAAAGAATTTGTAAAAACAATACCAGTATCTCTTTGTCACACCCTGATCAAGCATTATCCAGAATGCCTGATGAATTCTGATACAGAATAAATTATATAATTCTTAATACATTTCCTATATAACTGTGATGAATATTGAAATGTATTTAACCCAAAGTGTAATTCTTTACCATGATTTGAGGAGATTGTCAATATTTGATAATTGAGCAAGAGCTAGTGTTTATCAAGTATATTGGTAATTTACATATTGTTCAAGTTTTGGTTATGATTATGTTGAGAATGAGCTTCATATTTACTTCACAGTGATTTTGCTGGCTTCAGGACATTTTCAAGTGGGGTTTTTATCTTTTAATATGACTTTACCAAATTTAAGAACAACTTTAGGACATTATGGATGACAATCAGTCAGTATCCTAGAAAAGGAACTGGTCTGATCCCTGTTTGTGTGTATTGTTATTATTTAAATAAAAGTCATGTTCACACCAGTATTTGTGAAGCATACGTGGTATATATGTTTAAATATCTAATGAACTCCAGGTGTCCAGCTACCTGATATTTGCATTTAAATGTATGTTGTTTCATGCATAAGTAATACTTATCAATTCGCATGTGATTTGTAAAATGAAATATATATTATTTAGTGTTATGTCCTATAGGCATGTGGTTTCTGGAGCAATAAAAGAATTATTTCTTCTTGCAAAGTAACAGTCATGATGTCAACAGGTAATTTTGTTGATTAAAGCTTATGACATATTTAAGTCTTCGGATCGCATTTAGAAGTAATACACATACGGAAGAGATTTTAAGGATGGTGGTGTTCCTCATTATTAAGAAATTGACATCCATAAATTCTCTTCCTTATGAGATATTTGTTGTACTTAATTTACATGTTTAGTTGTTAACAGTAATAATTCTTGGATTCATGACAAGTCTTTTGAATAAAAGATCATATATGGATTTAAATTCGTGTTGTATATTTTATCAATTCAAGTTAATTGATGGGAAGTACTGCAGACCCTGTCTTCAGATACTTTTACTATCACATGTTTCCCTTTTCTGGAACATGGATCCGATTGATTTGATATAACCATGGCAGTTATAACATATAACATATAACGTATAAACATATACTCAACAACAAAAGTTCCTGTGACACCAACAAGAAGTAAAGTTTGGTTTTCAATATTGTAGTACATGTATGGAACCAAATCATAAAAACGCCACTGTCACAGAAAAGAATGCATTCCATGCAAAAAATGACTTTTATGCAAGCCCCATGCATTTCACTACCCAAGAATGGGTATAAAACATGTGCGTTAACGGGATTCCATATACATTGTTTAGCATCGTGCTGACAACAACCACTCAGAAAAACAACAATGTTACAGCAAGACAGAGAACCTGTTTGATAGTGGTAGAGGGAAATTTGGACATGGACAGCGCTACCGCGACGAGATCATCGGCCCTATTGTTCTTCCGTTTTTGCGTCGTCATGGACCAGGCATTACCTTTCAACATGACAACGCCCGGTCTCATATTGATCGACTTGTTCAGGATTCTCTTTAACAAAACTACGTGAATGTCATCCCCTGGCCGGCTCGCTCCCCTGATCTATCACCAATCGAGCACATGTGAGATGATATGGATCGGCGCCTTCGACGTCAACCACGTGTTCCACAGACACTCCAGGAACTTCGAAACATGCTCCAGCAGATATGGACAGATATCCCACAGGACTTTATGCGACGCCTGGTCCATTCCATGAGACGAAGATGTGTTGCTTGCATCGCAACCAGAGGTGGACACACAAAATATTGATTTGTATCTTGACATTTTGGCATGTTCATGTTTTTTATGAAGTCACGCATTTTCTGAAGTCAGTATGGCAAATTAAACCATTTGAACACTTACATGAGTCTTTTATCTGTTGCAAACCGAAATTGTTTCATATTTGGTGAAAAACATAACTTTGCGTTAAATCGTATTCAGGGTCACAGGAACAAGTGTTGTTCAGTATATATTCATCATGAGAAAGTTGCCAGTGCCGTTGGTACCTCATAAATTGTTCTCTAACTGAAAGCAAGAACATGGTTAGATATTAAGTTTCCTAATAAGACGCCTCAGATGTGACTGTTTAGTTGCCGAGGAAAGGAATTTCAATCTTCGAAAAAATAAATCTTTGGCATATTGATAAAGCAATACATCAAATCTGTTGATGTGAATGATTCTGTTGTGGTCGCTGTCAGTTATATCGTATGCGGATGATGTATTCTGCAAAGGGCTATTTTCAAATTTGGTAGTAAATGTTAAGTTAAAGGTATTCTCGAAAAGAATTTGTGACAGTTCCTGATATTCGGTTAAACAAAAGAAAGCCATATTCTTCAGATTTTCTTTTGCGCTTGCCAGCATGAGGTACTGTCTCTCGTCGTAAGTCCAACCGGAAGCGGAAGTGTTGTAGCAGTCAACAATGCTCAGGTTGGCCAGCATCCGGGTCTGTCTGTTCACAGCTAGATTTGATTGACATTCCATGAACTCATGCAGGGTTACGTTCTTCCAATCAACATCAAAACACGGGGGTAGCTCCTCCTTGGTCGGGGAACGACCGTTGCATAGAAGGGGGGCTGCAGACCAAGTGGCACCCCTTGAAACGTGTTTCCATTCACTGATGTAACGCGGCAGTGGGTCCCTCACCATGGTAACGTACAGGTGCCTGAAACATAGAAGATAGTAAATTATCATGAAATTGAGCTGAACCCGTGTGTTAATTGTCCATAAAGGTTAATTGTTTTCAAAGCATACTATTGGCCATATATCGATGCCAGGGGGGAGTTTGTGAATGCATATGTGTTGTTGGGCCTAATAAATGAATAAAAGATGAACTAAAATCTAAATTTCAACCAGAATGGAATACTGCAGCTTGTGCATTATCTCAATCAAAACCTTCTGAAGAAGCTATACGATATTCAAAATACTGCAGCCCCTGTCGTCACAGGAACATCAAATGTTTTACATTTGTCACCAGTCGTCGAATCTCTACACTAGCTACCATCCGAAGCAAGAATCCAGTTCAAGATAATACAAACACAGCCTGGCTCCATCATGCATGTCGGAGTTTCGTCCATCATACAGTGTATTTCAGTGTCCCAGAAACGGAACAGTCTGTGTCCGTGCTTATCACGAAGTGGAAACAGTTTGGACGACGCTCATTCAGTGAGAACCATAGCCTTGGAATAAACTAAAATGCCTTTCAAAGATTTGACCTAAAATACTATCGGAAATACTAGAATAATGATAATAAAAAAAATGCAGCAAAGAGGGTTTGGGTGATCCTGGCACAGTCAGACTGATTAGGCTCATTATCAGCTTAGGGCCCCTGTCCCCCTCTACACGCAGCCAAGACGGCAAATAGGACTTCTCTCAGGAAGCGCTGCTTAGTCAAACCCACCCAGGACTTTTCGGAGAATGTGAAGAGTCCACAACACTGCATCCTTCTGCATTACCCAGATTGTCAGAAGGGCTGTTTTACTGGAAGCAAACCCGGGTACTCTCCCATTGTCAGTCAACAGATTGGGACGTACCAAACCTAAAGCACTGAGAACAATGGGGAGTCGGACAACTTGGTACTTGGGATGCAAGCGTGACATTTCGAAAGCAAGGTCCGCATATTTTTTATGTTTTTTTCTGAATCTTGTCAATCACATTTTTGACAAAAGGTATAAATTAATTTATTGGATTTATTAAAAAGGACAACACCAAGTTTGTTGGCCTGGATACGTTTAAGGCTGTAAACGGGCCTGTTCCATAGAATTTTGTATGTATCATTTTCCATGATGCGCTCTACATATTCCGGGTCGTACTATGGATGGACCTTTGTGTCAAAACCACAAGCATAGCGAAGACGGTAATAAAATGATCGAGCCACTCCATCATATCGCTTAGGATACTGTGTTTGTGCCCAAACTGGGCATCCACTGACAATGTGTTGGACAGTGTCATTAAATTAGCATTCTTTTTCACTTTTCAGGCCAAACGACTTCATCCATGCGAAAGACTCTGCAGGGTTGCTTATCTTCTCAACACACTGCACAGAAACTCAATTCAGATAGCCTCTCCTAATTATAATTATTATTATTATTGTTATTGTTGTATTTGCTGCTGTTTTGTTGCTTTCAAGAAGGAGAGGATGTGCATTATTTCAATAAAAAACTGAACATGAATTTTTCGGCAGCAATAATGTCTTTTATGTGAAACTGCCATATGAAAGTGTCAAATTTCAGAAAGTGAGAGACTTCGTCTGTGTCATGTATTGAGTTCTGAAGAATGATCGGGCCCAGATTTTCATAACCGACCGAACCAGTTTTAACAAAAACTTTATGCTGAATTCGTTTTCAGTTCAACGTTGATTTCCGAATCTATCTTTAACCCCGAAGTCCTGACAACCAGCAAGGCCATTCGTGATTTCGGAGCATTGGTCGTGCGTTTTGGTACAATTATGAAGTTAGGTTTGAAAAATGAGACAACAAATCAGAAAATGATTAAAACAATGTGAGTGAGAGTGGTTTTACGCCGCTATGAGGGATCCCAGCAATTGCAGGGACACCAGAGAAGGGCTTCATGCATTTGTACCAATGTCGACGCAATTCATCACAGGAAGAGTCAAATTTAAAGTCTAGTTATGATTTATTTGTGCAGTAGGATTCACATCTTACCTTTGTTTGATTTTCCGACCATGCCGTTTGTTCATAGCCACTTCCACACATGCATGCAGGTGGGTCCAATCGGCATGGGCCTTGCAGGGGTGCGTATGCCACTTTCGTTTGAACAAAATATTTGATTTCCACTCTTTATAACACCCACACTTATTTTTAGCTTCACACTGACACCACGGTGGGATATCGAGGTCATACGCCATATGTAACGCAAACGTCGTACTTCCGGTTTTCTGGATTCGAACAAAGACAATGACGTCACTTCCGTTTGTACTCACGTTGAAACTATGGATCAAGTCTTTGCGTAAAAAGTGTGCAGATGATAGGACGCCACTGTTAAACGCGTCATCTTTCTCGTTGGGATAAATCCTCTTCAGAGCTGGTAAGTTTTGTTTCAGAAAACCAAAGGAGTTTGAACGAGTTTGAATGATCTCATAAGTAAGCCAAACAATGATTAACAATACCGTTATAACGAAGAACAAAACCTTTTGTGTCATTTCTTTCCACATCAGTAATGCGCTCCAACATTCCCGGAAACGTATACGTATTTATAGCGAGATGCAATGCGAGTATCTAAATGCAAGAGGTAACCTGTTTTGTGAGTTGTGTTTTGCAACAGTTGTAATTACCGTCATTGTGAGTTAACATTGAAGTTGGAACACCTGGGAACTTGAAAGTACTGCCACCTGTGCCTGGAAACAAGTATCGCAACGCACAACGGCTTATCTCCTCAAGCTCATATTAATAACAATAGATGTCATTCAAACTAAAACGATAATTTTGATCTGAAACACAATACCTGTCAATCAACATTGGACATGCGACGGGCCAAAGCAATGCTGCACATGCACGACGAAAACCATGTGAAATGTGCAAGTACTGAGAACCGGTCATTGCAAAATCGACCTTTCAGTGACCCATAATAACTAAGAACAACTCTCAAAAGCTATAAGGGGGATTGGTTGGTATCAACCGAAGTGTCTTTGAGCGAGATTGTTTGATAACTACTGAGGTGTCTTTGAGCCAGATTGTATGATAACTGCGGAAGTGTCTTTGAGACATATTGTTTGATAACTACTGAAGTGTCTTTGAGACATATTGTTTGATAACTACTGAGGTGTCTTTGAGACATATTGTTTGATAACTACTGAAGTGTCTTTGAGACAGACTGTTTGATAACTACTGAGGTGTCTTTGAGCCAGAGTGTTTGATAACAACCGAAGTGTCTTTGAGACATATTGTATGATAACTACTGAGGTGTATTTGAGACATATTGTTTGATAACTACTGAAGTGTCTTTGAGACAGATTGTTTGATAACTACTGAGGTGTCTTTGAGCCAGATTGTTTGATAACTACTGAAGCGTCCTTGAGCCAGATTGTTTGTTAACTACTGAAGTGTCTTTGAGCCAGATTGTTTGATAACTACTGAGGTGTCTTTGAGCAAGACTGTTTGATAACTGCCGAAGTGTCTTTGAGCCAGATTGTTTTGATAACTGCCGTAGCGTCTATGAGCCAGTTTGTTTGATAACTACCGATTTGTCTTTGAGGCAGATTGTTTTGATAACAACTGAATTGTCTTTGAGCCAGTTTGTTTTGATAACTACCGATGTGTCTTTGAGGCAGATTGTTTGATAACTACCGATGTGTCTTTGAGGCAAATTGTTTGATAACAACTGAAGCGTCTTTGAGCCAGATTGTTTTGATAACTGCCGAAGTGTCTTTGAGGCAGATTGTTTGATAACTACCGAGGTGTCTTTGAGCCAGTTTGTTTGATAACTACCGAGGTGTCTTTGAAGCAGATTGTTTTGATAACAATTAAAGTGTCTTTACGGCAGATTGTTTTGATAACTACCGAAGTGTCTTTGAGCCAGATTGTTTTGATAACTACCGAAGTTTCTTTGAGCCAGATTGTTTAATAACTACCGAAGTTTCTTTGAGCCAGATTGTTTGATAACTGCCAAAGGCTATGGGGATATTAGTCTCTTATGATATCAGGATGTGCATCTCTGATGGTATGGGGATATTGGTCTCTGATGGTATGGGGATATTGGTCTCTGATGGTATGGGGTTATTGGTCTCTGATGGTATGGGGATATTGGTCTCTGATGGTATGGGGATATTGGTCTCTGATGGTATGGGGTTATTGGTCTCTGATGGTATGGGGATATTGGTCTCTGATGGTATGGGGATATTGGTCTCTGATGGTATGGGGATATTGGTCTCTGATGGTATGGGGATATTGGTCTCTGATGGTATGGGGATATTGGTCTCTGATAGTTTGGTGATTTTGGTCTCTCGTGGTATGGGGATATTGGTCTCTGATGGTTTGGTGATTTTGGTCTCTGATGGTTTGGTGATTTTGGTCTCTGATGGTATGGGGATATTGGTCTCTGATGGTATGGGGATATTGGTCTCTGATGGTATGGGGATATTGGTCTCTGATGGTTTGGGGATATTGGTCTCTGATGGTATGGGGATATTGGTCTCTGATGGTATGGGGATATTGGTCTCTGATGGTATGGGGATATTGGTCTCTGATGGTTTGGTGATTTTGGTCTCTCGTGGTATGGGGATGTGAGTCAGATGGTTTTCTTTTGTTTGTTGTTTAACGCCGCACTTATGTCATAATTAAATCTAAACAAACCATAACCAATTTTAACTGAGGTGGAACTTGTTGTCATGTAAACTGTAAAAAACAGAAGAGTTTGCCACTAACGTGGCCAAGTCTCCTGCCCAGCAAATGAAGTGTATATTATGTCAAGAATAGTGAAATGTGATCACACAAACACATACATTTGAAAAGATTCAAAATTTTGTAAGCGGTTAAAGGCAGCAGGGGAGCTTCTACTTGATGTAAATGCAAAATATCCTGAAGAAGCAAAATAAAATGCAGCAAGACACAATTTCAATGACGTTCTAGAAAAAAATGAACCCTTCTCAATAAAAACATGATGGAAGTACAAACTGACAAAGCCAGTAACTACATTTACTACTGAATTCATTAGGGTGGGAGAAAGAAAAAATATTACAAGTCCCATTTTGACTCGTAATAATATCTACATTGAATATTTGTTAAGAAACATAAATGGTATTAGTTTGTGATATGTGACTATTGTCAGTTCAAACCCAAGACGTTGCTTTGGACATAGTAGATTAAATGCAAAATATTAAGATTAAAAAAGTTCAGTTCATCACCACATTGATTAACATACAAAGAAATAATGATAGTCAGTTCAATATACTACACCTATTCCGTCACATCCCACACATGATGATGGTCAGTGTATGGGACTGGAAAGATTCCTGTTGAGAGGGGCTCATTACAGAAGATCAAGTCTAGTGTACCCCAAAGGTTGTGGGTTGGTTTGCTGATCAATGCAAATGTAAACTGCTCCATGAGGTTGGATAGTGCATTGTTGTCACTGACAGACTGGTCCATATTGAAGTCCCAAGTGATAACAATCATATACTGATTGAGAGGCAGCTGCTCCAGCAGTGTTTGCAAGTGAATGAGGAAAGTTCTCCTAGATGACGATGGTGCCCTATAGATGACAACAACCAAGAGAGTAATACTGGCCTCAATGTAGCATCCGAGAGCCTCTACAGCAGGAGGTATCTGTAGTTCTGTTGCCTCTCTGTACTGAAGGGCATCTTTGATTACGATAGCTAGTCCATGTTGGGAATGCTTCAACAGAACATTGTGAATTGGCTTAGGAAAGTCATTACCATTGGTAGTCTCATCCGTTCTTTTTTCAGTGAGGCACAACACTTCAAGATGGTGCACAGATATATCAGACATAAGATCTGTAAAGTGTCTTGGAAGTGATCTTATATTTAAATGCCCAACAGACGTCTTGTCCTTTGTCCTGAGAGAATGTCATTGTTTCTCAAGCGCATAGTTTCTTTAGTGCATTCTTTTGAGAAAAGTTAATAAGTTTGAGTCCCTTTCTTGATGGTGTGCGGCTTAACATTGTGTATGTTAACCCTTGTGCCATTGGTGTTCGAGGGGGCAGTGTTAAATGAGCAACAATATTTTGGTAGGTACTGTCCAGTGATTTGTGAGTTGTTAAACCAAAAGCTAGCATGCCTGGGTATTGTTTTCTTTCAACAGGTACTGGGACTTTTTGTGACAGAAGGAGACGTGCTGTAACTGCACCTACAGCACAAAAGTCTTCATATCAACATGTGCTGAAAACTGTAAAAGGTTTCATAGAGAAGAATACCATCTTATCGCACTCTCATCTCTGTCATAATCAATGCAGAAGTAGGGATGATGGATTTGATAATGAAGTCATTAAAGGAAAGTTACCCTCAACCATTAATGAGGAACATACTGACAACTTGGTAGAAGGCATGCACAGTTTCCCTACAATGGGAGATGATGATGACAAACACAAAACGTAGGCACAAAAAAACCCTTAATTATGACTTATTAGATTCCTTAAAGAGGTTAAATGGGTATCAAGTTGAATTTTTTGGCATTTAAAAGAAGAATTCATAAATTTCTAAAAGTTCAACTTGTTAGCATGGAAAAATAAAAAAATATATATTTCCAAAATGTTTAAATAGTAAAAGGCACCAGTTGACCATGTACCTGACAGACCTGCAAAGTTTCATGAATAAGTATTGAACGGTTTATGAGTTATGCTCCGGAAACGAACCCTACCCAAACAGAACCTAAGTCCATCTTGTTGCCATGGAAACGTAAAAAAAAAATATTTTTAAAATTTCTAAATAGCAAAAGGCACGTTCAGCATGTACCTGACAGACATGCAAAGTTTCATGAAAAAATATTTGACATTTTCTGAGTTATGCTCCGAGAACGAAACTTGACGGACGGACGGAGTCCGTTCTATAGCTATATTTCTAAAATACACAATCCACGCATCCCTGGCCAACCAGGAGGCCCGACCGTGCCAACCATGCAGAGCCTTATTGAAAATAAGAACACTTTGCACCAACACTGGAACAGGCCAAATTATGCCTCTGATTCTGAGGAGGGCGACATCAGGTTGTTATTCAGGCATACAATTCTGACATCTGCAACAGTTGTAATTACAGTCATGGCTTACAGTTAAGGGGGCACGGGTGGTCCAGAGGTCTGAGGTGCTACAATTCGCTGTGCAGAGCTGTGTCCCTTGGTCATGCCAGAAACCGAAGATGGTTGGTGAGAATGCCGGTTGGCCCCAATTATGTTTCTAGGGTTATCAGCACCATACTCGGGCTCGTGGGTTTTCCCCAATGTGGTAAACGTCTGGCATCAGGTCGGGCTTTCCTCCAACATCGTGAGATAACTGACAAACTGCAAAGCGGCGTTAAACCCAACTCACGCATCTGTAGTTACCTTCAGGGGTAGCAATGTTTGTCTTCACTCTGTCCACATATCCATATAGTTTGTAACATTTTGTATGGACACATGTGATCTTATTGCCCTTGCTGCAGGAATATTATAACTTGCTCCGATGTTGTCTTGTTAAGATTTTACGCAGACGTCTGTCCATTACCAAAATACATGGTCACAGATTATGAAACATTAGCAATATGCTGACTTCATCGTGTTGCCATACAAGTTTCCAGGTGTATTAAATCAGTGTCATTGATCCATTGTCTGGATCTCTAAAGTGTCGATGCATACTGGATACCAGTGTATAACACCAAAGAGCTTACGACAATGTACTGACAGTGTACTGTGATATGTCACAATACACAGTATGAAGCCTCACCTATGGACAAGTATTGCTGATAAGGCAGGACGCCAGGTGTCCTTATAATTATTATGACTATTTTGCATTTTACGCCCGTTTGAATCTGTTATTCTGGTACCGAAACCGTTCCACCTTTGGCAGTCATTTTTTAAAGTGGATCGTTCTTCTGACGGCCGATCCCCACATCTTTGGAGAGTATATTTCTGCTGATAGCAGATCAGTGAACAAGGCAGACAATGTTATCCGACGTAAAATCACACAGCAACCGCGACTGTACACAAATGTAATACAGTACAAGGTATGTTGTACTATTCGTACGAAGATACATGAATTCAGGTGACCCCCCTGTTTGTTGTATGCCTCAAGCCATTAACTTCAATGGCAAATATTCTTCTGGGTATAAAAAAATGATATATTTTGTTTCAGCTGTTGTTTTGTTAAATGACGGTAATGTAATGGATACCACCTGCAATGGAAACTGTTTGGGCAGAGAATGGAAACCGACGTTGCATATACACTCTTCAAAAAAAGAAATGCACAGGTAATATGTAGTTCATTGAACCTGACTACACAAAAAAATCCGGTGTAGAAATTGGATAAATGTTATTGGAAAATTATGATGGCCTGATATTCGACAAACAGTGCGTCAAAACACAGCCATCGTCGATTTGCAATGTCTTAAACGGCATTGTTTTCACACTTGTTCAAAAGTGTTATGGAGGTAAAGCAAACTGCACGGGCAAGTTATGGCATTTGCAACTCGTGGTAGTGGCTATAAGCTTATAATTTGTCATTCAATTGTCGAAAGTCGGAAGGTCCGAGATTCGATCTCCGGCCGCGTCATAGCATAAGACGTTAAAAAGATGGTACTTGTTGTTACCCTGTCTGGCGCTTGGCATAAAGGGGCTTAAACAAGGACTGGTCGGCTCGGAGTCATTATACTATGTCTGAGTAGGGTATTCATGTTAAACTACGGTATGGTATCTCAGTGAGCTAGCACCATAAATCGGCATTAGTCCGGGCTAGTACAAGCAGCCACACACACACGTGCATGTACGTCGCTATATAAGTGCAATAATCTTCACCACACACGGTGTTGCAAACTATATTTTTAAGCGTTTCTCTTTACTTGTTAGCAGCAGAATAGATGCACTTGTACGCAGCGGGCGTAATTCTAAATAAACATATTATTTTCAGTTTTTAAAAAATCGGTAAAGGCACTATCTTGTCACGGGATTGTCTGGTCAACTTTCACTGGATTGTCTGGTCAACTTTAACTTGATTGTCTGGTCAAGACTCGATTTGGTACACACCACTGTCCTACGAAAGGAGTACTGTTAGGCGTAAGCCAAAGAACGCTTATATTAGTATGCAACTTGGGTGAGTGGTGGGTGTTACCTGGAGACCCGGTGTCATCACTGATTTTTTAGTGATCCCTTCATATAATGGTAGAAACAAATGCTTTTTTTGCCAAATGGAATCTGTTTCTGCAGAAAATCGAGACCTATTTTTCTTTGGCGTTGATGATTTACACGCTCTAAAACAGGGTATAAGCAATTCGAAAAAAACACCCCGTTGATTACAGAAATTATCAGAAATACAGACGGTATTGAGTGAGTATTGTAGAATCACATGTAGTTGTCAGCAATGCAGCTGACACACAGACATGGTTGATATTGTTTGCGCTGGATTATGTAGCACCCAACAGAGCACGTGTACCGTCACGCACGGCTGTATCAGACATCCATGAATGAAGTATTGTGCATGGTTGACGGTGAAGGTCGAGATATACACTCCTGCCGAAGGGTGATGTAACTTGTAACGTACTCAACGGGGAAGACAGCAAACATTCGGAGTTTAACAGTGACAGTAAGTATGGTTTTACGCCGCGTTTAGCAATATTCGAGCAATATACCGGCCGGGGACACCAGAAAATAGGCTTCACCCATTGTACCCATGTGGGGAATCGAACCCGGATCTTTGGTGTAACCCAACGCTTAAACCACTAGGCTACCTCACCGCCCCCGGAATTTAACAAAAACTTGACAATGTTTGACAATTTTTCCATTTTGATTTTATTTGACATGAACGTGGATATGAATAGTATATCTCTTTTCCAAACAACGTGTAATCTTGATATTTCTATTTTGGCACGTATAGTGCAAAAAAGGATAATTTCCTTATGACACCTCAACTCGCAAAACATTTCGAACTTGATCAGCTTTTCATTGTCCCGACAAGAACGCAATTCTCATTGATTTGTAGACACGGAACTAAAAGATGATTTTTATTTTGTACAAACAGCACAGGTCATCTCCCAGCCATTAACATATGGTGGACATGGCAGGGGACCACAGATAGACTCGACCAGGTACAGGAGATGTCCGTTTGTGTCAGCATGGCCTCCCTTTATGGATTCTGGGTCTTCATCTACACACACGTAATCAGTTGAACCTGTGTATACAGTGCCACCCCCAAAGAGGTACCCCTTGTACTCCAGGTGCCACTCAGGGAAGCACTGATTCCTGGCAGGGACCATGACAGCACTCCTCCTGTCACGACTGCGGCACACCACACAAGGGACATCATGTTGTAACATGTTGTGCAGAGGCGCTGTTGCTTGATAAGGTTGATACTCAGTCCCATAGAGAGTACTGCTTGATCCTGCTGCAGTATGGTTGGCGTAGATAGGAGAGTCAGGAAGGCACAGAGTTGTCCCTGGTCCACCCTTGGCCTGGTAGTGACTTCCTCCTGCATAACCTAGGAGATTGAAAGGAACTAGCTTTTATTCTATGTGAAGACATATAATATATATATGTTCCCAGTCCTCCTGTTGCCTGGAAATCAGATTATTTAGAACATACCAGCTCGTGATCATTAGATGTTAGTGAATTAATGGGAGTCATATAGAGACAATTCATCACCGTTGGAATTATCAACCAAGTAATTAATAAATTTTGACAAGCTTGTGGCCACGCGAATAGTGATTTACCCAAACTCGGTTGATGTTGCCCATATTACAAAAACACTGTAGGTGGATTCTTCTTATCATTTTCAACTGTAAGCCTCACCTTGAGCAAACTGAAAGACATTGAAATCGTTTGTACGTGTCGTAGAATACGCATATAAATGCATTTCCTCCTTAGCCGTGTGAAGAAAAACAAATGACCCATTCATTTCCGTTGGAACCTTCCATTTACCGAAAAATAAGTTCCAGTCAAAGCACGTTGCTCGTGCCAGGTTCAGTAAGCTGAAAGTAGGCACTATTGTGAGTATGTACGTCAAGTACAGCAACAACGATTAATTCTGTAACATTTGATTATATGCGTGACATTATTTCACAACTGAGACATTCGAGGCAAATTACGCTTGCAGCTAGGTTACAGCAGTACATGTTTATTGGTGTCAGTATCCTTTACAATGAAAACCGAGCATGGTGGTTTATCAAGAGATAATCGTAAAATCGTTGCCAGTTAAAGAGCCAACAGAGTCCTGACGCCACTAGAAATAGGATAAACTTCAGAAACGACAAGCTGGTACGTGACAGTGTGACATGGTATTGTTTCTATGGCTTCTGAAATTATTGCGAGTATATCAGTATTGCTTTGACAGTTATTACTTTGACTGAAACAGCTGATTTGATGGTTTCAACGCGAATATTTATAGAAACGTACTTCTTTCTCAATCATTGTCGGGGTGCATTTTCAACTACGTATAATTTTGTGTTACAAAATGTAGAATTGTGGTTTTTACTACAATGTTAAAAGTTCAGAAAAGGAGGACTGCCACATGAAAAATAAGCCTGCACGTTCCTTCATTCTGATAAAGTGTCACCCTGGCGGTCTTGTTGTCTTTGACAGCGGGTGACATTTGCATGATTCGTTCTTTGGAAACTGAAAAGCAGTGTTTACGTTAAAGTTATGGGATCTGTAAAAGGTGCCTTGGGATGATCTGAACCCAATTAATGATCTGTGGGATGACACAGACAGACGTTTACATCTATGTGAAACAGGGCCACAGAAGCTGCAGCAATAATGTCAAGCTCTTCGGGATGACTTGGCTGCATTCCACAAAGTGTCATCCACATGCTTCTTGGTTCTACAGGCATGAGGTAGTGTGCAGACATCAGGCCAATGATGGACACACGTGATACCAGGTTTTAAGACAGTGAGGTAACCGGCACATGTAAAGACGATTACAAACCAGGTGGTTTAAGTTGGGTTGCCTCACCATGGAAAAATGTTCACGATGAAGACGAGCGAAGGAAAATATTTTGGACAATGAAGTATTTCTGATCGACTATACTGCTAGAGATGCACATCTTCTAGGAGAATACGTTTGACTAACGTTAATCTTCTACGTTTTGTTGTGACCAATGAAGTGTTTGCATTGAATAATTGTTGACAACATTTTTCTTGTGATAAGTGCTGCATAATATGACTCACGCATACGTTTTTGCCCCCAAAAGATGTGACATAGTACGTGCTTAAGACAATTGCTGAATTAATGACGTCTTTTTGTTTTAATTTTGTGCACCACTGTAAATTGTAAAATGGATTGACCAACGTGCCTGCTTTGTCTCACCAGCAAAGTCACTCATCCCTGACTCTACCTGGATTATCTAATTGCTACGGTTCAGCTGGTTTTAAGAATTACGCGAAGCAGGTAGACTTCTCCGTTAACGTTTGATGAACTTTCTTGCCATCTTCCAAACATTCTTTTACAAAACGGTTTGCGTTGAACAATTCTGCCTATGTCATAAGCATGTGCATATGAATCACTATCAAACAGTGAGGATTACAGTTTTTCGCGAAAAGGTGGGCGTATCCTGACCGACTAGTGCCACCCGTCACAAGTACATGTAAAGTCAAGTTAAGTGTTCGCCTGAACAAGCTCGAGAACATATGATACAAGTAAAAGTAGGGATTTGCAGCAGGCATAAGTTTGGTCACTGATGCGTGGAAAATATCCTCCAGATGTCAACCATTACACCTTTTGAAAGCTTCAGTAATGCATTGAATGTTGAACCCCTATCCAACATCTTTTCAGTAAGAGTCGCTCTTTGAAATCCTGGTGGAAAAAGCATGCTTGGTTGCAACCAATAATGGAATAAAACAAGTGTCTGTGTTTGATACTCATATGGCATGGAATTCTTGTGCTATAAAACCGCCTTTAGTCCGAACTTACGCAAACATTCAATTTATTTTGAACACCACGTTAAACCCTATTTCTCCCAACCTCGCCATATTGCCTCACTGACAACAAAAGTCTGCTTTTAATGGTAGAATGGGGATAAACATTCTTTGGTTTCACTGCAGAACTAAACTACCTGTAGATTTAATTGTGCTAGATTTGGAACCGATCGCGAATGCACAACGTTATGTCTCCAAAAATAAACACATTGAAAAGTGTACAGTTACGCACACTGTACACATATGATTGTTTTCGTTTTGCATACATGTCATGTATGGCAGTAGTTTCAATACAAACCTTTTTGAGTTAACTGCATATGTTCCAGCGAAGCCAGACAATAAAGAGCTTTTCACATTCTCGATTGGAAAGTCCACTTATGTATGAGATGATACCATTCTATAAATGTACTTTGATTGAACTGACCCCCTGAAAATATTAAAATTAAATAAAAAACAAACCCATCTGACAAAGTGATTAACCCCCTTTTAACAAACATGTGTCTCGAAATGTTTTACCTTTATACATGACATCATTTCCTAACGGACATGTTGTCTTTCCCCACCGAGTGAATATCGCTCCTCCTCCTACAAATACACAGAAAAAACACAGATTTCAATACAGACAAATAAATACTTGACTGGGAGAGACATGGTGTGTGCTAATCTTATATGTGTGCCGTATTGGTAAAGTACGTAATGCATGAGTTTAAATTTAATGACCTCATCATAGAATGTAAACAGTAGAATACATGTTAAACAATCATCAGAAACTGAAAACAATCATCAAGTATTGAAATCACCATCTTATATATACCTTCCTGACATCAAAGACTATACATACACAGAAACACAAAGGCGTGTTTACCTGAGCTGCTACTTTGTGGAGTGGAGGTCACTGGCGGTAGAACCTTCTCCCCCAGATAGAGGCTCAGCAGCGACCTCAGCTCATGCAAGAACTGCCGGTTCGTGGAAGCCGAGCACGGAGTAATGACATCGGTTTTGTTCAAAGAAGCACCTACAAATCTCAAAGCACACTTTTCATATGGTAATTTAAAAAACAACGCTATGCGTGAGTGAGTATGGTTTTATGCCGCTTTTAACAATATCCTAGCAATATCACGACGGGTACAGCAGAAATGAGCTTCACACATGGTACCCATGTGGGGAATCGAACCTGGGTCTTGAGCGTAAGGAGCGAATGCTTTAACCACAAGGTTAACTCACCGCTCCAATTGCTATGACAATGGTGTTATCACAGTTGATATGGATACTTGGTTACACTACACATATGGAGAGACATTCTAATTAGTGTGGCCACACAGTTAGCGTTGATAACAATATGAAGTGCATAACTATGATTTTCTATCACATGTGTTCAATCAGTTGTCAGTCTAAAATTGTATGGATAGTTTAAGCATAGTTTGTGCGTGTGCGTCTGTCTGTATGTCTGTCAGTTTGACTCACTGTGGTAGATATTTACAAATAAGTATAAATAGGTCGGGAACTCTATTTTACAAGCACATTAGCATTGAATTGAATTTCTAAAGACAGTAAGAGTGAAAGAAATTGTAAGAAATAAGTGTTTTTAAATACTATTTACAACGCATCCCATTTCTATTGTCCAAGGAATGAATAAACAGGTTAATGACGCTCTCAAAAGTCGTATTTGTGACTTGAGGTAGATACACATATCTAATCGATTTGTATTTTGTATTTTGTAACAGTGTACATGTATAACTTTTATCTGCATAATTTACATTCATCATTATCAATACAAATCGGACGAGCACCATCTTCCCGAGGCAAGGGAGTTAACTGTCTATAAAAGTCCAGTGTCCACCCTTGCCGAACTAGGCTGTTATTATGGAGTTACATTTTGGCTGGACTGACGAGTCTATGTATAATAGAAATCGAAATCCGGTAAGTAAACTGTTGTGCAGATTTCGGTCGACTGCAGGATTTTTAAAGCATGTGCACAGCCAACTCGTTGTCAACAGATATTTGCCAAGTCTTTTCACGTTTTTTCATAAAGGTGCTCACGTGATTTGATGCACTTCGCGAGGTAAGACCCGTGTATCACCATGTAGATCTTGATTATCGATAAGATCGTCTTGACTTGGCGCCGCCATTTTGTGTGAAACAAATGCAAGTGATACGAGAGGTAGAATCTGATTGGTCCATAGGAGAGACTTATAAGGGACATAACTCGTAATAACGGTGGCGCTACAATCGAGCCAAGGAATTCCAGCCTAGTTCGGCAAGGGTGGAAACTGGACTTTTACAGTCAGTTAACTCCCTTGCCTCGGGAAGATGGACGAGCACATATCCCGCGTCATGTCCAAATCTGTTGACCGACAAAACAATTCTTTGGACAATGCAAATACAAACAGTGTACTTATAATAATGACACTTACTTGTCAATGTCGATGCCTATCATACTGTGTATTAAAACCACATGATATTTACATATATGCTTTCTAACCAAGCAGTGCGACATGGTGCCCAGACGAAATGATCATAAATCAAGAGTAAAACAAAACCCTAGCTCTGAAATTTTCTCGTTTGTAAATATAAACGTTTCAAACCTCCCATTTAACACCCTTTTGCATTTTCTGCTATTACAAGAGATCCATTTTCCATGGTGTTGCATATATTAGCTGAGATTATGGAGATGCATGAGCGAAAAGTCATTGCAAGAATTGGGGAATTAATAATATCTATGTATGACAATGATTGGAAATTTTGAGCAAAAATTCTTGACCTCTACCGTCGAGACAGGCGCAACATCATGCACAGTGGTGACAGTATTTTGTTTTCAATATTCCTTGGATACAATTGGCCACATTTGACAAAATATCTCCACAAAGTTAGATTTGGTTTTAAAATTGTTTTGATCGTTTGATAACAGAACACAGATATTTAAAGGATGCACTAAGTTAAATCACAAAAGATATAGGAAGAGATGCTCACTTTGCATGTTAAGAATGCGTAATTTAAAATATTTGATTTAAATAATAAACATTGACTAGGCGTGACGTGTCAAATCAATATCAACGAAAAACCAATCCTTTTATCTGTCTATTCAAGACATTTTTTACAGAACGATCTTCTCTTGCATCGAAAAAACCCACAGTTCGATTTTTTTTATCAATATTTGTAATGCTGTGAAGGAAATTATGGGAATATATAATGTAACTTATTTTGTAGTGTCCATTATCAATATCAATATTTGCGTGGAAAAGTTTGATCACTCATGAAAATCAACAAAGTAACGGAATTATTCAACATTACGAAATGCCACGCCTGTCCGAAAATGAACGTCTGCGAGCCATTGGTATGCTTGAAGAGGGATCGAGTCAACGTGATGTTGCAAGACAATTTAACGTCTAGAGAAACACCATTTGGTGTTGATGGCAACGTTGGCAACAGACGATTGCAGTCAGAGACCATCCTCGGAGTGGCAGGCCACGCGTAACCAATAATCGACAAGACAACTGGATTCGAACAACACACCTACGAAATCGATTCCAGCCAGCAACAGTGACTGCAAGAAGCATCCCTGGCCTTCGTCGAATATCTTCACAAACCGTACGTCGTCGCCTCAGATGTGCAGGGATTGTCGCCAGAAGACCCGCCAGACGTCCAATTTTGACAGGAGACCACCGTCAAGCACATCTACGCTGGTGCAGACAGCGTCTACGCTGGACGGCCATGCAGTGGGGACAAGTTCTATTCACTGACGAGTCTCGTTTTCACCTCAGCCACAGCGATGGACGGATTCGAGTGTGCTGACGTCGTGGTGAACGTTACGTCATTGTGCCATGGAAGAAGACCGGTTCGGGAGCGGCAGCGTTATGGTATGGAGTGGGATTATAGCAAGACAGAGGACCCGTTTGATAGTGGTAGAGGTAAATCTCAATAGGCAGCGCTACCGCGACAAGATCATCGGCCCTTTTGTTCTACCGTTTCTGCATCATCATGGCCCAGGCAATACTTTTCAAGATGTCAACGCCCGGCCTCATATTGCTCGACTTGTTCAGGATTCTCTTCAACAAAACAGCGTGAATGTCATCCCCTGCCCGGCTGGCTCCCCTGATCTATCACCAATCGAGCACATGTGGGATGAGATGGATCGGCGCCTTCGACGTCAACCATGTGTTCAACAGACACTCCATGAACTTCAAAACATGCTCCAGCAGATATGGACAGATATCCCACAGGACTTTGTGCGACGCCTGGTCCATTCAATAAGACGAAGATGTGTTGCCTGCATCGCAACCAGAGGTGGACACACAAAATATTGATTTGTAAATTGACATTTTGGCATGTTCATGTTTTTTTATATACAATCACGCCTTTTCTGAAGTCAGTATGGCAAATTAAACCATTTGAACACTTACATGAGTCTTTTATCTGTTGCAAACCGAAATTGTTTCAGATTTGGTGAAAAACATAACTTTGCATTAAATATTATTCAATGTCACAGGAACTTTTGTGGTTCAGTATATGTATAAGATGAAAATACAGAATCACACACAGACAATCGATTCTGGTAAAACTTCCTCAAACTGAAGTCAATTAAATCGATTGAGGTAGACATGGTAACGTTCATCAAATTTATTTTTCAACAGTAAACAATGTATATGTCTCAATTAAAAAGGTTGATCATCATGAGCTGTACAAAGAGAATACATGCTTGTTTGATGCTTTTGCTTATTTGTTGTTTAACGCCGCACTCAGTAATATTCCAGCTATATGTATCGGGGCAGTACACACAGGATATCCCCCTGGTACATTTTTATATCAAATAACACCAGGAGTCGATACAAGTAATAAAACCCAAATATTTTATAACTTTTATCAACATGCTCTTGTACACAAGATATTAAAAGACCGGAGGAAATACGCTATTTACTCAACCATTCAATAACACTACACCTTCGTTGTTTTCATATTCCAACCTTATGCCAACTATGTTTTTTTCAATGTTGACTATTGAGATTCAGTGAGTAATAAATATATCAACATGGGGACAAGGACAAGTTTTACAAATATGTTATCCAGTTACATGTCAAATATTAATTATTGGCAACAGGGAATATATAGAGAATCTCATATATTTGATATCAAAAGACACGAGGGTGAGATTTATTAATCACCCAACATCATTCTTCGAACCTTTTCAGTTAGTAGACTGTAATAAGCAGAGCCTGAAGTGTAAAAAGTACTGCTAACAGCTTCAGTGGCAAGCATCTGACATAATCAGGGAGCAGTATCTCTTATTGCAGTGGTCAGACAGAGTTAGGCAAACAAACAAAAATAATTTAAGGCGTTAATACCTTTATCTATATCTACATCTGTTTATCATCCACCCTCATCAAATCACACGTACCAAGTGTACATACTCGTGGCATACAAGCAAGTGAGTGAGTGAGTGAAATTTATGTGTTATCAAATGCATTTGACAAATGTTATTAAATGCATGAAAGCACCAAACAGCTGTAATGCGAAATGACTTGAATCGTGATTTTAATTATATTGACCAAGTTCGTTAGTTATTCCACATTTGCTAAATGGCAACAAATCCATATCCTTTTTTTAGTTTATCATCTCCATATGTCTGGTCCGCCACCATATTGCTTGAATATTGCCGACTGTGGGGTTCAACAACAAACATACCCCCCCCCCCCCCCCCCCCCCCATTCAAATAGCCCCCGAATTCATATTCATGTGCGGTAGAAAGGAAACAACCTTAGGTTCATAACACAACTGAAAACATGTTTGATTTATGTTACATGTGGCCTCAACAATTCAAACCTTGTTACGACTTTTTTACAGATTTAAAAACAAAATTGTGCTAATAAATTATGGCATCGCTATTGTCCTATGTTGGAAGTGCAAGGTATGTTGTTGTAAATTACAGGTAGCTTCAAAAAACATCCCACACACAACTACTGGTTAAGAAGTTAACATCTTCAACACACACATTATGACAATTCATGAAGATAATTTAAA